GACCCCAGTTTACAGAATGAGGAAACTGAGAAACAGAAAAGTTCATGTAAGCAGTTATTAGCCCAGAATACTCAACTGAGACTAAATTAATGGCCACAAAGCTCAGGGGCCAGGGAGCTCATGCAGGACACCACCTAAGGAGTCTCCCAGCACCGTCAAACCCACCTCCACCAGCAGGCTCATCTGCCTGCAGCCTGGCAGCGGTCAGGCCACGAGAGGCCCACACCAGGTGAGCGGGAGCAGAGGGGAAGCGGCCATTTTTGTTTTTCTTTTTCATCTTTCCAGCAGCCAGCCAGCCAGAACAGTGCCAAACCTCACTCTCCAAACTCTTCCCAGCTACATGGAGCCCAAGAGCACAGTCCTTTTTTTATTTTTATTTTTTCTTTTTCTGCAGAAGTGAAAATTGACCAGAAAGGCTTGAGCTAAACCAGCTGCACCTACAGGAGTGCGGCCCCACTGCTGCCCCCCGCAACATCACCACCACACCTGAAACCCCACTATGAAAGGTGGGATTACATCACCCCCAAGGGCTCCTCCTGGAAATGCAGAATCCCCAGGGGCAGGTGGAGGGAAGCTTTTTCCAGGGATAACAATCAGGAAAGCACTAAGCACAGTGGGGGAGGGGAGGGCAGCAGACACAGAAGTTAAAAAGTGGGAAGGAGATGGGGAGGGGGAGATGAGAGATCCTAGAGATCATCTGAGGCCAACCTGCAGCTTTGACAACATGGGAGGGAATATGCACAGAAAAGACCTACTTAATACGGCCTTCTTATTACGGTGGGAACACAAGGTATGACAGGACTTGCAGAGGAGAGGGGAGGAGATCACGCTCAACCTTGGATGAGCTGTCCGTAGCCCAGAAAGAAGAATCCGTCTAACACCTCCCACCAGTGCTGGGACTCTCAAGTCACAGCGTACAGGGTGTGCTCCAGCTCCACCACCCACCAGCCAGAAGTGACCTAGCTTTCCGGTGACTCAATCTCCTCATCTGTAAAATGGGGGCAATGATAGTATCCCCCTCAAAGGTTTGAGGGTGAGGATTAAATGCAATAATACATGTAAGGTGCCCAGCACACTGCCCGCCCCCAGTGACACCTGGCTGTTGGCATCACTGTCAAGCTCCAAGCCAAGTCTTGCCCCTTCGTGCAAGCGCCTCTGACTTCTACACTAAGCTCTTGGAGCGCTCGTCATCTGTACCACGTAATTTATTACCTAATTACACTCTGTCTTGAAACAATTAGGGAACAATTCACCACAGCATAATAAAATGCTAAATTGAATTCAGTCAAGCTCCTTCCAGCTCTAAAACACGACACTTCCAAACCCCGTATCATACAGGACTTGCTAGACACACACGCACAGAGATCTCGACTCAGGCCCAAGACAGTCACTTGGCTTGCTCTTCTGTGGAGCGGACTCTCTTACGTCATCAATTTGGGGCTTCTCTTTTCTCCTGTGGCTGGGGCTACCCGCCACTTGAGAAGTCTAAGCACTCCAACCTGGACGCCCAGCAGCGCAGAGAAACCGCTGTCCTAGCCACAGGCAGCTTCGGTGGCAGAAGCCTGGGCCAGCTCTGCTCTGGATCTCAGACAGGAGTGTTCCTTGGGTTGCCTTTCCTCACATGCTCTAGCTATCCCATCCCAACAGTAGGACCAGGAGGGCTGAGGCTGGTGCAGAGTCTGGACGAAGGGGCCAATGAGGCAGCCAGCCAGGCCACCTGTGGGCTGTACCTGGAGCTAAAGTGTCTAGAAGGCCCTGAAGATGCACACACAGGTGGTCCATCCAGTTCTCCAAGGCCCGAGGCTCCCAGGGATTTGGGGATGCCTAAGCAAACGCAGAAGTATGTGCAATGATAGAAATTGCCCTGAGAGCAGACATATCTTACAGAAAGTAGAGTTTAAGGGGAGTCAAGTGAACTGGGGATATCAGGGAAGGCTTCAAAGTGGGGTAGGAGGTGGGTACTGGTGGGAGGACAAGAACTTGTATGTCCAGTTGCAGAAGCTGAGCGAAGCCCTTTGTGCTGTGGCTATGAGCCAGGCTGAGAGTTGGCTCTGGCTGCTGGGACAGTGCCTGGGGAACTCCTGCCTCAGCTGCCCTCAGCCTCTATGGCTGGGGGGACCTTCACCTGGGCTGTCCTGAGGCAGTGGATGCAGTACTTCCCACCCGGCAGGACCGAGACCACCCAGGGCGCCGCTGCCTCCCACTGCCCTCAGAGCAATGGCTGGGCAGGCGACTGGGCAGGCGGCTGGGCAGGCAGCTGGGCCACGCCACAGCAGTCAAGGTACTGAGCTGGCCAAGGAGGACAAGGGCTCTGCCTCCCCTCCCCCTCCCCAGCCAACCCTCCCAGGAGTCCCATGCTCCATGGGGGGTGTTTGGAGGGTTTCTCAGTCAGTTATGCAGGAGTACATAATCTGCCTTCACTGCCTCCTCTGTACTTTTTATACACCACCCCCCAGCTTTGTCTCCCTTTTCCCACCCAGCAGCCCAGAACTCTCAGGCTACCCTACTATGTGCTCTTCTCAAGAGAGAATTCTCTGATTATTCCAACCTGCGAACAAGTTTATGATTCTGAAGTGTTTCCCCTTTCTGGGGATAGCTTTTCAAAGGCAGTACCAGGAGACAATGAGGTTGAACCCAAAGGAATGTGTCTCTAAGGGGAGACTCAGGGACACCGAAATTGAAGTTTGCTTTCTCACCAACAGCCTTTACTATTGCCCTGCTTAATTCGTTCTTTTACTCAATGAACATTTATTGAGCACCTGCTACATGGCAGGTGTCACACTGTGTGCTGCAAATTCAAAGATGAAGAAGCACAATCCCTGTCTAGCTGAAAAGATGGAATCGCAACACAATTTGAACATGATGAGAACTGTCTTCAAAGACCTTCCTACTTGTTCAAAGCACTCACTTAAATGGAAATAGCTGCTGATTAAAAATTATTCCTATCTACTCATTAAAGCAGTTCTCCTAATGAGACTTACTGGACAACGCTTTGTAGACCTAGATTTAAAATGAATAAAGCTATATGTCAATGTACATTTCATAACTCATACACTTTCTGATTCAGGCTGAACCTCTGCCCCCCAGCCTCTGTCCAGTAAGAAGATCTGACCACAGCCTTTATGGACACTCTCTGGTATGGATTTTCTTTGTGGTCTTGTTTGGAGTTTTCTAGACTGATCATTTGGACCGGCTCCTTCTTCTTCTGGCTCCTGCTTGAGTATATACAATGTACAATTCATTTGCTTTTTTGCCCCTCTTTAACCTCTGATTATATTTGGTACCTCCTTACTTCCCTTACAGCTCTGTTAATAATAAATGATAACAGGTCATACACACATCAACACACAATTATAGACAGCAGAATGTGGCACGCACTGACTTGTTCAATAGGTGAATACCACGAAATGCATCCCATATCCCAGACATGAACAGTGGTTAATTGGGACGGCATCCTCTTTAGGTCCTCCCCCAAGCCCTGCAAATCTGCCACCAGGAGCCATCCCACCCATATTAAAGAGGGCAGAAGCTGCTCACACACCAAGGTAAAAAATCTCCAACATACAGTCCTAATTACATTAACAATTATTTTCCACATGTGGGAACGATACATACTGCAGTCTCCCATGCATGTGGATACTTTGGGGGTCAGCTAGAAATTGAGATTAGAAATTGAAATTGTTGGGCCGGCCTGGTGGTGCACTGGAGAGTGCGTTGCTTGGGAGCACGGCGGCGCTCCCGCCGAGGGTTCGGATCCCATGTGGAGACCGGTTCCCGCTCACTGGCTGAGCGCGGTGCGGGCGCAACACCGAGGGTTGCGATCCCGTTGCCAGTCCCCGGTACGGGTGTGACACCGAGGGTTGCAATCCCATTACCGGTCAGTAAAAAAGACAAAAAAGGAAAAAAAAAAAAAAGAAATTGAAATTGTCCTAGAAAAATTTGGGATGTGTGGACAAAACATTTATTCTGTGACTAAGGGAATTCTTGGCCAAATGGCAGCTCTCCAGAAAGAAATCAGCTCAGCTGGTGATGACATTGTATAAAGGGCACCTGAATTCCAAAACCAAACTGACAGAGGCCAGTGGAGTCTCTGGTCTTGAGGGATCCGAGGTGACAGGAAAAAGGAGGCTGGCCTGAGTCATGAGAGAGGGTGGGAGAAGGAGACAGTCAGGAGAAAGGGAGTGAGAAAGAAAAGATGTGGTGGAGATGGGGAGGAAAGACAAAAGATGCTGGGGGTAGGAAAAGGAAGGAATAGAGCCCATGCCATGGTTTCAGCCCAGAAACAGCTGGAAGACATCTGCCCAGAAATAGCTTCCCAGACGGCCTGTCTGTCGTGCTCACTTGGCCAGCATTTCCTAGGCAAATCCTTTTTATGAACTCTTCAAGGAGTCCTTCCCAGAGAGGCAACACTGGCTGACTTACCTAGACCACCCCCATCTGGGAGGGCAGGTCGCACAGCAGACAGGCCAACGTTGGGTGCTCAACATCTGAAGGACAACCATGGACCACTCACCCTCCCTATATCTCAGGGGCCAAGCAACTAGCCAGGGCTCCCACCACACATGTATGGAAAGAACTGTGGCCCCAAGAGGCCCGCAGAAGGCCCTCCAACCCAGACCATGGCATGTGGCCATCCCACACCCTCAGGGCTGTCCATGGACATTTGCCCAACTGGTTTCTGACATTGAAACCACACCTTTACTTTTTCAAAGCATTGAAAAAAATTTTTATGGGGGTCCTTGAAAAATGCATTACTTCTCCTCCGCAGGGGCCAGTGAGTCCCAACTTTGTCATGGTTGGGTCCTACCCCTCACCGTTCAGATCCACTCACCCCTCAAGTTAAAGACAAGTGGGACCCCAAAGTGCAGCGAGCTTTGAGCTGCCAGAACAAGCCACTTCTTCCCTGAGGGCAGCTCTTGGGGGTGGGCAATGGAACAGGGGCTGCAGGGTCACCACAGGACAGGCTTCCCCCCTCCCAGGCCATTCGCCAGGGTCTGTACCTGGAGCTGGAGTCACTGCTGCTCTGCATTGCTTGGTCGTCCGTGACATTAAAGAGCCCCGTCCAATTGGCCAGCTGGTCGCCACTCTGCCAACCAAACTGGAGGCCTCTGGCAAGAAAATGGGGCAGTCGATACTCATGCATATTTGGGTTAAACCTGTTGGCCAGAGAGCCACATTCTGTCACTGTGCCCAATGACACATGGCCTTCATCATGGCCTTAATAGAGATGATGGTGATGACTCCAATCATGAGGATGACTGTAATAAACCATAGCCCTTTACAGCCATCCCTCATTTCATCTTCATCGGCCGGGCTGAGTTACACAATTCACACAGAGGGAAACTGAGGCTGAGCAAGATTAAGGTCATGGAGCTCTTCTACCTCCTACATGGTGCTGTCCCTCTATTCCCACCTCCAGAAACTCAAACCAGAGGAGCTCTAACCACCAGCGCTTTGTCCTCCTTGGTGGCCAGACGCACTTCAAAGATCGTAATGAAATCTACAGTTTTCTGATGCACAAGGATACCACACCTGATTAAAGATTATGGACTCACACATGTTCTCCTCCATTCCCTCCCCAAAACTGACTAAAATGACAGCAAAGGCATAAAAAAGGATGTGGGTGTGGAGAGGAGGACATAGGAGGAGCTAGTGACAACATTTTGGAAGATGAAAACAGATTGTTCATCAACTTAGGCCAGAGAGTAGAACCCTGGCTACCTACGAGAAGCAGATCTGTCCACAGTGTACAACTAAAGGTGGGAGTGCAAAACAGAGCTAAAAGCAGAAGAATTGTTCTAAGTCTGTATTAGGAGCAGTTGGATGACCTTCCACCCCTCCCTCCACCACACACACACTCATACACCAGATTCCCTTCCCAAGCCCAAGCTGTCTGGTCACTGCACCTGCACGCACAACAGACACCAGGAGCTTTGCTCTGGAGAAGCTGACACAGGGGAGTTCTGCCCTGTTTTCCTCATGTACAGAGACCCTGTGCTGAGAAGAGCAGGGTGTACCTGAAAGTCTGCTTACCGAGTGCACCCAGCTTCAGAATGCTGAGACCAGCCACCTGACCTGCAAGTTTGGCTAGGGATGGGTTTCTCAGGAGGGAAACTGGCTGGCTCAAAAGAAACAGCTATGGAGGAAAGGGCTGGTGCCCACCTGATCACCCTAGGACAGGCTTTCTCAACCTGGTACTATGGACATCTGGGGCTGGCTAATTCTTTGTTGTGGGGCTATCCTACGCATTTTAGGATTTTAAACAACATCCTTGGTCTCTACCACTAGATGCCAGTAGCACCTCACCCCTGACCCTCCTGTCGTGATGACCAAAAATGTCTCTAGACATTGCCAAATATCTCCTGAAGACAAAATTGCCCTGGTTCAGAACCACCGTCTACAACAATACACAGAGTTTCCAAGGAACCTTCTAGTGACTCACTGGCCCCCAAACATGACAGGCTATTAGAAACCATCAGCATGTGAAGAAAGCTTTAACCAAAAAGTCAGAGAACAAAACCAACAGTGAAAAAATAAAAAAGGAACTCAAGGGAAAAGAGACAAATGAAAAAAGCAGACTTTCTTTTTCTAATAAAACCCATAATAATAAATAGCCTCTAAGCTGAGGAAAGGGATAGCCAATGGCTGCTGGGGCTGGAAACTGGTCCACCCATACTCTCTGATGAGCTGAGTGCCCTCAGTCGAGTCTCTGCACCTCTCAAAACCTCTGTTCCCATCTTTCAAGTGAGGGAACCGTCTCAGGTGTCTCCAAAGTTCTTGACTGAGAGTATCAAGGAGCTGAGCCATCTCCTAGCTGCACACCTCTCCTACTGCTCCTTGGAAGTCTAGCTCATGTCCCAGTGCATGCTAGCCCAGTTTCCCAGCCAGACTCTGGCCTGAGAAGGGCCCTTGAAACTCTGCTTACAGAGAGCGGCACACATGAGGTGCTCAATCAGTGCTCTGATGAGGGACTGCTGACTCCCTTCTCACGCTCTCCAATCTCCACGGCAGAGGGAGCTCTGCCTGGGACAGGAATAGCCACAACTTACAGGACAGAGCCTGAAGCCAAAGGAATGTCCATCCAGTTCTCAGTCCATTCAGAAAACAGCAGCACTCTGGTTTTGTTCTGATTCAGTAGTTATTGACTTATTCATTTATTTATTTGTTGAAGTGGTTAAATTTCATTTCAAAGAGATCAGCAAGGTCTTTCTTAGAGAGAATTTGGGTTTGGTTTCTTTGGAAGGAAGTACCTACTATGAAGCAGGCCTTTTACATACACGATCTTGATTCCTACAACAGCCTCATACAGAAAGTCTCATTATCTCCATGTATAGGTGATAAAATGTGCAGCTCAGAGAGATTTGTAACTTGCCCAAGGTCACAAGGCTCAGTGGCCAAGCTAAGATTAAAACCCAGGGCTAGGGTCTGGCCCGTGGCTCACTTGGGAGAGTGTGGTGCTGATAACACCAAGGCCACGGGTTCGGATCCCATATAGGAATGGCTGGTTAGCTCACTTGGGAGAGCGTGGTGCTGACAACCCCAAGTCAAGAGTTAAGATCTGCTTACTGATCATCTTTTAAAAAAAAAAACAAACAACAACAAAAAAACCCCCCCAGGACTGTCTGGTCCTAAGGATTTTACTCCTAAAAGCCTTTACCAGGCTGTATAAAGGCCAAGAAAATAATAATATCTACCCCTGGGATTTGGCAAATTAGCTGGTTCACAAGCATATTAAAAACAATTTCTAGCCCAGGAGTTTGCTATGAAACTCACAGGAGCCTTAAAAATAGTCTGGCCAGGCACAAAGGATCGGCTAGTCACACTGTCACTCCCCTCCCCTGGTGAGAGCCTGCTGTCCCCTTGCACAACAGCTCCTCCTATGCTTGTAGAAATAAGCGACTACTGAGCAGGCATTTACTACAATCTTAGTGCAGGAAATATGATGACACAGAAAGGTGCTCATCACAAATTAAGTGAAAAAAACAGTCTACAAAAAGGATATGCAGTAGTCCATTTCTACTGGGTTTTATACCATAAAGCTGGTTATCTTTGTAGCCTGGATTAAAATTTATTCCTTCTTTTGGTTTAGCAATGTTTTCTGATTTATCTAAAAAAAAACCCTGATTGTACAATTTTCAAAATCAATATATAATTTAAATTCCATTCCTGAGCTAAGTGTAGGAATTGCCTGTTATTAGGCAATTAAACCCCAACGAGGAAGGTGTATGGTGGTATGAAGGAGGATAACAAAGAAAAAAGGAGTTTTATTCACTCTTTCATTCATTCGACAAACATGTATTGAGCATCTACTATGTGCCAGAAGCTTTGCTAATCACTGGGAAGTAACAAAGAAAAGCAAATCCTTGTCTTCAAAATACTTGCCATGAAGTGAAGGTGATTGAATAACACACGTGATTTACACAATGGGATACTGCTCTGCCATAAAAAAGAACGAAAAGTCTGCCATTCTCAGCAATACAGATGAACTTAGAGAAACTTATGTTAAGTGAAATAAGCTAGGCACAGGAAGGGAAACACTGCATGTCCTCACTCATAAGTGGGAACTAAAACAATTTAATTAATTAATTTTAAAAAAGAAAGATACAACAATCACAATAACACATTGAACTTTCAAAAGAAGAGAACAGAACTGAGGTTACCAGAGGTGGGAAAGGGGGAGGGAGAGGAGGGCAAGGGAGGAATTGGAAAAGGGCCATGAAGAACGATCGCACTGTATGTTGTTGTGTCTACGAATTAACCTGATTTGAACATCACATATTGCACACAGGTATTGATATTCAACTCTGTACCCTACAGATATGTACAGTCAATTATGCTCCAATAAAAATTTTTTTTTTAATTCACATGAAAATAACACATAAAAATATTAACACACATGAAAACATTAGCAAACATGATAGGGCAACATTAAGTGCTAAAAAGGGATACTATATTTGTTTTTAATGCCTGATTTATTTTAAAAGAAGGAGTTTCGAAATAAGTATGGCAGAATGCTAACATTTAACATTGTTAATTCTCAGTCATGACTATATAAATGTTTGTTACATTGTTCTCTATAACCATTTATATTCCATCTTTCCATAATAAAAATGTGTTAAAACAATTTTTAAAAAGCGAGTGTTTAACTGTGCAAAACTCACAACCACTAACAAGGCCTTGGAGTAGCCAAGGGCAGCTTCCTGGACCCAGTCAGCCCTGCAGGGTCTTTGCACCTTGCAGAGTAAGCTAACATTGGACGCTGTCTTAAACCTAAGGAAACATGAGATATAAAGAATTACGTAAACTGACGTATTCAAGACTGGAGTCAGACATTTCGAGGCCTCAAGCACTGAAAAGATTATGGTGCCACCTCACACCCATACTTACTCAAAAGTTCCACACCTGTTAAAATTAGAACAGCCTCCGTCTGGATTTTCTGATTACGAAATCTGGGATAAGTTCATTGAGGCACAGGTTTTCTCTGTTGTGCTTGTTGTTGGTGACAACCGACTCAGCCAGGTCCCCTGTTGTGTAACCCACAGTCATGTAATTCCAGCCCCTGCTCTCAGGGCAATGAATCCTGCAGCCATCTGAGGATGCTGAAAGCTGTCCAGGCCTCCCAGAGTCAACTACCAGGGGAGTGTCAGGGCAAAAGGCAACATCACATCTCAGAGAAGCGATTTCCATTAGAGTGAAGTTACCTCCATTAATAATATCCTCCAAAATTGTGAGGTGCTATCTTATTAAAATTTATGACAGTGGATTAAAAAAATATATGTTCCAGGCCCTGTGTTAGGCTTATATGTTATTTTGAATCCCCCTAAAACCTTGGAAGTACGTATTATTATCCCCATTTCTCAGATGAGGAAACTGAGGCTAGGAAGATTGGACTCGAAACCTGCCCAGACATGGTAAAGAGCAGATAGAGTACTCAAGCCTGAGTCCAACTGCAGGGCCCACGCTTCTTCCTTCTCTCTTTTAACCCCATGTTCCCCACGCTTTTTCAAAAACAAAACAAAGACTTTTCCTTTATCCAATATTTCTTTCTTTTTTTTTTTTTTTTCCTTTTTGTCTTTTTTTCGTGTCCGGCAACGGATCGCAACCCTCA